AAAATAGAAATCAAGAGACCAGCAAGGGGAGGGCTAATGTAAGAACAAACCCCAGGACACCTGAGAAGATGCTGACCTGGAGAGTGCTGCTCTAGGAGACGGCCCCCGAGCTCAACTCCCGATCTTTCTTCGTATACCCTACACTCCATCCACACTGAACCATTTATGGCTTCCCAAAGTCACCTTCATCTCTTTTTACACAATGTGGTTCCTTTCCCATGCCTGCCTCTCCCTTGGTCACCTGGAAAACACCTCCTTATCCTATCAAAATCTAAGCTACTGTCCTCCTTAAACTCCACCCTCTCTCCCACTGCTCTATCCCCTGTGTATAATTCTTTTTTAACATTCAGCATGTCACATCTCAACGATGTGTTTGCACGAGTTTCCTTTATGAGATTGGGACCATCTGAGGCTAGGGTCTGTGTTTATCTCAGGCTTTATTTTACTATAAGGGCCTGACCCACAGGAAGTGTGTGTCAGTACTCGTTTGTCAAGTGAGTGGAAGAAATGGTGGATGATCCAACCTAGATTACACAGACTGATGAAATTCAATAATTGCAATACAGATTATGTATTGTCATAGGGGTACTACTATTATGGCCTTCCTTGGATTGGCATTAGCATGCCTTGGGTATAGAATGTACCTGTTAGGTAATGTTGATACAATATGGTAGTAATATACATTTATATGATGCTTATTGTAATGCAGGCATCATTCTAAATTCCTATATATATTAAACCATTTAACTTTCACAACAATCCAATGTATAATTATAACTATTATTATTATTATTATTATTATATAATTATGATAGCTATTATTACTATTTTCATTTTGCATCTGGGAAAGGTGAGGCACAAAGAGCTTAAATAAATTACCCGTGGCCACACCACTAAGAAGGTACGAATCTGGCAATCTAACCCAGGCAGCTTGGCTCCAGACTCTGTGCCCTTGACTTCTATGCTAGGCTTTGCAAACATTACAACAGAAGTTCTATTTTGTTTCCAAATTTGCACTGGATGATTTCAACCTTCCTTGATATTTCATATGATGCAAGTGATTATCTCACTAATAAGTCTAAGTATTCAAGGAATAATTCCAGTTCTAACTGGAATTAGTATTTTGCATCTACTTTCCATTTCTCTTCTAGGCACTGGTTACATTAGCATAGGGCTTAAAAGTAAACCAAACAAGAAGGGAACAAAGAAAGGTACAAAAGAGTAGGCCATTCCTTTCAAAGTTCTTTCTTCTTTTTCATTATGCTATGGACTGCATTTCTTTTATTGCATATACCTGACTGCATTGGCATGTTTGATTTATGCAGAATGCTCCAACAGTGCATAAATTAATAAGTCTTCAGGACACCGTCAACAAAAATCATCCTTTTCTCTAACTGTACATCCTAAGAAAAACTTCAAAAGACTGCAGTTAGAAAACACTCATGTAATTCCATTTGAGACACTGGTCCCTGTGCGGTAAAACATTGTGAAGCCTGTGTCAGTGGATTTATAGAGCCAACGAAGAATAACATTCTCTTATCGGATTGTTTGTCTCCCGTGGTTTCCCTCTGAAAGCAATAATTTTGAGATCGAGTTCATCATATCCTAAGCATAGAAAATTCTACACATTTTGAAACGATACTTTCACTGTGTTGACGAGCGTGTTTTAAGAAAAGCAAAGAAAGAAAGGAACTATGCTTTCCAGGCAGATAAACAGAAGAGCTCGGCTAGAAGGAGGTGGTGCCTTTTGACTAACTGGCAATGCCAAAGAAGCTGGGTGATTTATGATATGACCAACCCTGCCAAGGCAAGATTAAGGAGCACCCACCCGTAGAAGTCAGGTACACGGCAAATGAAATACCTTATTTGAGTAATAGCCACTTGGATAAAATTCTGGATTCTAGAGCAAGGGAATTATCAAACTCTGGATTTCAACCAGTCTACATCTCAATATTTCACATAAACAGATGATATAATCGCCACATATATATTTCCTTTGGCACTTACTGTTATTTTAAAATCCCAGTTTGTGGTGCCAGCAAGCTTTCTTAGATTCAAGGATGTGAATGCAAAACAGTTACTTTTCATTAGTTTAATCCTACATGAAATTTTAAGGTTTTCATGCTTTTCAAAGGGGGCACATTCATTAAAATTAGGAACAAAATACCATTATAAACAGTAATTAATATGCTTTTAAATATTGTGTTATTAGATACACATTCATGCAAAGAGCTTCTTAAAAATTTTGAAAATGAACATATCCACTTAAATGCTGGACCACTGCCCAGTTTAACTAATGGACACAAAGTAAGGGATTTGCTTTATCCTCATGTTAGCCCTGAGCACAAGTCCCAACTTGGAATCATTCATTCATTTACTAATTGATTCATTATACAAAATGTGTTGATTCTGTTGTGTGGCAGCACTGTTATTCTGGGCTCTGGGACAAAGTTCTAGCTCTCACAGAGCTTACAGTTTAGAAGGGAAGACAAAGAGCTAGTCTAGTCCAGTTCAGTCGCTCAGTCATGTCCAAATTTTTGCAACCCCATGGACTGCAGCATGCCAGACTTCCCTGTCCATCACCAACTCCTGAAGCTTGCTCAAACTCATGTCCATCAAGTCAGTGATGCCATCCAAACATCTCATCCTCTGTCATCCCCTTCTCCTGGCTTCAATCTTTCCCAGAATCAAGGTCTTTTCCAATAAGTCAGTTCTTCCCATCAGATGGCCAAAGTATTGGAGTTTCAGCTTCAACTTCAGTGTTTCCAATGAATATTCAGGGTTGATTTCCTTTAGGATGGACTGGTTGGATCTCCTTGTAGTCCAAGGAACTCTCAAGTGTCTTCTCCAACACCACAGTTCAAAAGCATCAATTCTTTGGCACTCAGACTTCTTTATAGTCCAACTCTCACATCCATACATGACTACTGGAAAACCTTAGCTTTGACTATGTGGACCTTTGTTGGCAAAGTAATGTCTCAGCTTTTTAATATGCTATCTAGGCTGCTCATAGCTTTTCTTCCAAGAAGCAAGCATCTTTTAATTTCATGGCTGCAGTCACCATCTGCAGTGATTTTGGAGCCCCCAAAAATAAAGCCTGTCATTGTTTCCATTGTTTCCCCATCTATTTGCCATGAAGTGATGGGACCAGATGCCATGATCTTAGTTTTCTGAATGCTGAATTTTAAGCTAGTTCTTTCACTCTCCTCTTTCATGTTCATCAAGACGCTCTTTAGTTCCTTTTCACTTTCTGTCAAAAGGGTGGTGTCATCTGCATATTTCAGGTTATTGATGTTTCTCCCGGCAATCTTGATTCCAGCTTGTGCTTCATCCAGCCCAGCATTTCACATGATGTACTCTGCATATAAGTTAAATAAGCAGGGTGACAATATACAGCCTTGATGTACTCCTTTCCCAATTTGGAACCAGTCCATTGTTCTATGTCCAGTTCTAACTGTTGCTTCTTGACCTACAGATTTCTCAGGAGGCAGGTAAGGTGGTCTGGTATTCCCATCTTTTGAAGAATTTTCCACAGTTTTTTGTGATGCACACAGTCAAAGGCGTTAGAGTAATCAATGAAGCAGAAGCAGATGTTCTTCTGGAACTCTCTTGCTTTATCTATGATTCAATGGATGTTGGCAATTTGATCGCTGGTTCCTCTGCCTTTTCTAAACCCAGCTTGGACATCTAGAAATTCTCAATTCACGTACTATTAAAGTCTCACTTGGAGAATTTTGAGCATTACTTTGCTATGTGTGAGATTAGTTCAATTGTGTGGTAGTTTGAGGATTCTTTGGCATTGCCTTTCTTAGG